TCTATTAGTCTTTGCCCACGAGTAAAACAAAAACATAAACAAGTGATGAAAATTCTTTTGAGTATAAAAAAATCTGAAATGCCCATCTTTCTCTGGAACTCTGTCTTCCTAAATTAAATCATGACTTGCAATAAACTATTAGATCATTTGTCTATAACATGCATAAATATCTTTGAGCTACTATGAGAAATATTAATCTTTAAGCTCCTTAAGAAGAGAAGATATTCCCATTCATTATAATCAAATAGCACATAATACAGCATCAGATTTTGTAAACTGTTTTGTAAAAACAATTGAATAAAACTAATGAGAAAAAAATAACAGATTTACATTTTTGAATTAGCATTTGTATGGTCAGGGTGTGTGGGGGAGGAGAGCATTATGATTCACTCTGCTAATTCTTATAAATGCCTTCTTTAAGGAAGCTATGGCATCTTTCAAACTGCTATTCAATGCAACTGCCAAAATACTTCTTCTGAGCCCAACTGTTCCTAAAGGAATTTGTTTATATGAATAACTGCCAATTCCAAAGCTACTATTCAGTTTTGCAGTAACTTCCTAAAACAGAAAGTCAGATTTCTCAAAACAATTATAATTTCATTGGAAATTGAAGGAACGTTTCCAAGGGCCAGCATGATATCTAATCTCTATATACTTCATGGAGATCCCTTAAAACTCTTAGTGCTGGCCTCTTAAAGCCCAAAGTTCAACCCAGTGCCATGGAACTGGCATGTCCTACTCACTAAATATGAGGCGGAATCTCTACTGGCATTCATAGTAAAAGCATTAACAAGCCATTATCTTTTAACATTCTGTCAGAAGCCTCACCAAGAAAGAATAAATACAAAGGAAGGACAAGAGTTCCAAATTATCTGGAAAGGAGAATTACAATACAAAATTGACATCAATTAAGATGCAAAATCTTAAGTGTTTGGAAGTTTGAAGGAGAGTAATGTCGACTGCAACTTAAGGAGCTAGGAATGATGAGGACCATTTTATAAATGAGTCAAGAAAGGCACAGAGAGAGTCTATGAGTTGTTTCACACCACCCAGCTGGCAGTTGAGAGAAGAGGGTTGGGTCTCTACTGTAAGTTCAAGGGAGAAGCTGAATTTCTAGCAAGGATGCAGAAGGCTTATGCAGGCCTAGGCATAGAAGCAGAGGTAAAGGAGGAATGACAGGAACTTAGAAAGAAGAAACTCATTAGGTGCCCCATACCAGGACAGGACACAAAAAACCAAAATGAATCCGTTTTGATAATAAGACTTAGAAAACAGGAGGCATTACTTACTAGTTGGAGAAACAAAACATTTCCAGTGGATAGGACAGGAGAAAGGAAAGGCTGGCAAACAGCATAAATGCCATCAGATCCTTTCTGCTTTACCAGGGCTAGAGAGGGAGACCAGAATGCCCATGAAGGAAGAGACATGGAAAGTCTCAGTATACAGTCATCCCGCTTCTGTTCATCTGAATAACTGTTAACTATCACATCTTAGCTCAGTTGCACTCCCTCAGGTCACCCTCTCGGACATCTCTGACTAGAGACTCTCATAGCACAAAACAGTTCTCCTTCATAGCAATTATAATTTTACATTTATTTGTATGTTTGATTAGTTTTCCCCCACTAAACCTGAGAATGGGGAAACATGAATAATTTTGTTATTTTTTTTCTACTGCCATCACCTGGCAGTGTCTAGTCCACTGCAGGCACACATAACTAGTTGTTGAATATGTAAATGAATGAATAGATGAAGTTTACTGGGTTAGAGGTCATTAAGGACAGCAAAAGTAGGAAAAGGAGAGACTAGGGACACAATAACAAATGTACAAACTACCTAACTCTGGTTAGAATTGGACTTATTTACTGTCAATTGTTTACAGTCAAATAAAAAGCATGGGAGACTACAGTTTTGTCCTGGGCAGCTGCACATCAGAGCAGATTATGGGGAACATTGCCACACTGCACTGGACTTTATGATGCATGTCAAAAATGTTGCACACAATTAGAGATGATGTCTATTTGTTTCTTTGGGGATTTTTAAAACATGACTGATTACCTATAAGAGACTTTTGTCTCCACATGATCCCATGATCACAATAGTACAGTGTTTGGTCAAGCTGGACTTTGAAAATTGCTTCTATCCCATTCCATTCAAATCAGCGTGATGTGGCTTAGTAAGTGTCAAGCAATAGGGACAAGACACGGTCTTTGTCCTCAAAATTCATAAAGTGCTTCTTTGAAAACTGTTGACATCCTAGTACTTTAACCATCACTGCCAAATATATTCACCATAAATTATAGCACATTAACGCATTTTTTTCTTGTAATTAGAAGAGACTGAAATTTTCCATAGCTTCACTAGTCAAATAAGCAAAGAAAAAAGGTAGAATTGGTACTCACTAAAGAACTCCCTACCCCATTTTATCACTGTTGCTAGTTATACCATAATGATAATGCTAATCATAATAGCAAATAAAATGTATTGAGAAGTTCTACATGCCAGTCATATAACTTTACATATATTCACATTTAATTTACTCTAAAACATGAAGACAGGGACCACACTTTATGCACACCTTGCACCCTCAGACCAGCATAAACACAAGAAAATAAGTAGTAAATATTGCTAAAAGTATGAAAACAAATGGGAGGTGAGGATAATCCATTCATGTTCAAACTGGCTATCTTTAGGCAACTCAGTTTTGGTTTTTAGAAACTGTAAAATGAACACCACACCCTGATGAATTTCACACTAAATATATAGAATAATAAAATAACAGACCTAAAAGGAGCCTCCAAAGAGACCTCATTTTATAGATATATCCACTGGTTAGGTGACCTTTCACAAGAAACAACCTCTTCCTGAACAATAAATTTTAAACAATAAATTTTTTAACAAGTTAATTACTTCCTTGCAAGATTGCAAAAAAGAATAAATAGTTCCTGGTGTTGTGTCTGGCTCCCTATAAATAGTTGATGTTGTAATTCTATTTGTTACCATTTTGTGAGTGAAGAAGCTTAAAAGTATTACTTTTATAATACTGTCCTAGGCTGACAGTATCCAGCAAGACTAGATAGCAATCAGCTTAGACTGTGGCAGAAGAATGGAAGGCCTTGGAAAGAAGTATCTCAAGGAAGAGTACATTTGATAGAATATGTAATATGGTTGAGTTTGAAATAAAATGAGGCCACAATAAAGCAAAGGCACAAGAATAAAGAAAAGACAATTAGAAATATCAAAGGAACAAAAATGATATAGAAGAAAATATAATCATAGTAGTTGACTCCACATGAATATTTACTTATTAAAAATATACATTTAAGAATTTTAGAATTCCTTAAGAGACAAAATTAAGATTTATGGTTAAGATTTAAGATTTCATGTTATAACTGAATAGGATATAAATGCTATAAATCTTACAAAAGAAATTTAGAGTTGTGAGGGAAAAGGAGAGTTGTAGATAGATTACAAAGGCTGACATTGTCATCTTACAAAGTGGAGACTAAATAGACACTGTAGTTGATAAAAGAAGAAATAAGGTGTAATAATATTATGTTTAAAAGATACCTATGGGGCCTAGGTGTAGTGGCTCATGTCTGTAATTCCAGCACTTTGGGAGGCTTAGATAAGAGGATCACTTGAACCCAGGAGTTAGAAGCTGCAGTGAGGTATGATTGCAGCACTATACTCCAGCCTGGATGACAAAAAAAAAAAGAAAAAAAAAAAACCTATGAAGAAACTAAACATATTAACATTAATATAACTGTATTTGGAAAATAAAGAATGATGCCTACAATAGAAACAACAAGAATAAAGACAAGTTAAAAGTAGTTATAGGTGATCAGGATTGGGGACAAGAGGAATGAGACAGAAGAGAAGACAGCTTTGCATTATAAGTTTTTTTAAGTATTCAATTTTCTTAAAATATTGTGCAGTATTTCTCTAATGGGAATAAATTCAAGCAGAGGGAGAGAATGTATTCAGTCAAGTCCTAACTTCGTTTACATAAGAACTCCTCTATCCCATTGGAAAAGTCCAAGTCCTTGCTGTCCTATAACCACAAGTGCATTTTCTGAAGTTATTACTGAGTGGAGGAATTTGTAAATATTACCCTATTTCTTGTGAAGACGCAGCCTCAGATTACAAATGCAAATAAATTCTTAAACCTAAAAAATAAAAGGTAGGATGAAGGTGAGAAAACAGAAGTCTTATTTGAATCTCTGAACTCAAATTTAGTGAGCTACATACAATGCGTTAGCTGGTTATAGGTTCTCCCTGTGCTCATGACAATTTAGAAGTGAACAAAATAAACTTACAAAGTCAATATTCCTTGTCTTCTCTCAACCTTGAGATTTTTCAACTGCTAGAGTTTCACATTGTTAGGCAGAAATGGTTTAACACAAACATCTGGGATTCATTTATGTCAACTGTTGCTATTTAAGAAGGGTCCTCTTTATTTAAAATATTAACCTTCTTTTAAAGACTATTTCAGAAGAAATGAATTGTCCCCTCTTTCCTATTTTCTGCGAACAGTCCATTTCAAAGTTTCAGCCTATCCTAGGAAATTGAAAAGGAATTCCTTTCCTACATCCTAAATGTCTCTTCATCCCACATGCAAAAGCTTCAGGACAGTCTCCAGGGTGAACAGCGTCTCTGGAAGCCTCAAACCTACTTCCAGATGTGACCCCCCAAGGTAGACAAGCAGATCCAGTCTTCCAATCCCTTTCCAGATGACAGCCTTCAGAAAGATGAGTGTGGCAGAGACCTAATCCCCTGATCCTAGATGTGGGCCAAAAGGCACATGAATAAATTGAAACATCTTCTCTTACTATCACATGTCATTCCCTAAGCAAGAAAGCCTTCTGATGCCACTCCAACAACACTCCACATATGTCTCCAGAGAGCTTAGTCTCCATAGATCCAAGTCACTGTTCTGTATCTCACATCTTTTCTCTCCTTATTTTACATCCTCAATCCAAAAAAGATATGCTGTTCCTCACCTGGGTTAAGGTGCTTATCTCTGGACACACTTTGGGGATTAGGTTATTTCGAAGGTCTAGAGTCTTCAGGCCGAGTAGTTTTCCTAAAGTTGAGGGCATCATTTTTATCTTCTTATCATTCAATGTAATGATCTTAGTGTTTTTACCACCACTCAATGCTCTTATTAATAATCTCTCAGTCATGATCTTAGAAGAGAATGAAGAAGGTAACCACTAGGAATCAGAGTTCTTTATTACACAGCTTTAGAATCTCTAATTGCAGAATTGGTGTGTCATGGAAACAAAAACATTCTGAGATCCACCGTATTAAAGGCAGGACACATTAGATGATTTCCTAAGTAAAAGGGAGGAAAAATAGCTGGTTCAGGTTTGGGGCAGGAAACTTACAAGATGTGCCTAGGATATCTTATGCTGTAATTCTGGCTACTTGGAAGGCTGAGGCAGAAGGATCGCCGGAGCCCAGCAGGTCGAGGCTGCGGTGGCCAGGAGCAGCCACTGCACTCCAGTCTGGGCGACAGAGTGAGACTCCAACTCAAAAAAAAAAAAAGAAAGTTATCAAATACTAATGAGATCATATCAAAAGAACACAAACGCAAACTTCTAGGAGTTCTCACTAGTCGAAAATGGAAAATATAAAGGATCAGAAAAAATAATCTAGAGTGGGCTGAAACACATCAAAATAGTAATATCTTAGAGTTCATAATGGCATTCTTTAAAAAAAAAAGAAAAACATTAATCACACTGGGAGTCATCGGGGTACGAATTCAGTATGAAAATTAATAAAGGACAAAAATCCAGCATTTATTCTGCTCTATTCTGCTCTTCCAGTACAAACTGCATTTCAGTGCAACCTAATAGTTAATGAGGTTCTTATTCACAGAGGAATTGAAGTGGAATAATAAATGAGGAAGAAAAAAATAACTTTAGAAAAATCACCAGTTTTGCAAATTCTAATAAAGTAATGGATCCATGCAAAATCATAATTGAGTGCTAAAAGTCTTAGATGAAAGGTTGATGATGAACTTTATAAGTAAGCACTCAGGCTAATAACCCATCAATCAATTTTAACTTCATTAAAATTGAAACAATCACATGTTATAAGCCTTAGGGGGTGATGCAATACAAAGTCCAGCCCAGACGCAGTAGCTCACACCTATAATCCTAGCATTTTGGGAGGCCAAGGTGGAAGAATTGCCTGAGCCCTAGATTTCGAGACCAACCTAGGCAACATAGCAAGATCTCATCTCCACAAAAATTCAAAAAATAAACTGGGCATAGTAGCGCAGGATGTGGTCCCAGCTATTCAGGAGGCTGAGGTGGAAGAACTGTCTGAGCTCAGGAGGATGAGGCTGTGGTAAGTCATGATCGTGCCACTCTATTCCAAGCTGGGTGACACAGTGAGACAAACAAAAGTATACAGCACCACCTATGAAACGTTCTTGCCTAAAAATTAAACCTGAATCTAAACATGGTTTTGAGATCTAACTACCAGTTACAAAAAAACAGGAGGACTTGCGAGCAAGTTAGATACCTCTCAGGAAAGCACTCAGCCAAATCTATAACATGGAAAATTCTACAGAGCGAATGACACAAGATTTCACCAACAAACCAATAGCATTAATAAAAAGGGCGGAAACTGTTATGAAATAAGCTTAAAACAAATAACAGCCAACATAATGTATGGACCTTGTTTGAAGCTTTATTTGAATAAAAATACCTTGGAGTCAATCAGGGAAAGTTGTTTATGGATTAATTATTAGATGATAGAAATTAATCTGTTATGTGTGAAGATGATATGGTGGCAGTGTTTCTTTTAAATGTGCCTAACATTTAGAAATGTATACTGAAATTTTCAGGTGAAATAAAATGATGTCTTGAGTTTTCTGTAAAATCATCCAAGGGAAAAAAGTAGGTAGAAGAAGTAGATCAAACAGGATTTATTGATGATTATTCATGCTGAGTAATAAGTACATAGGAATTCATAACACTAGTCTTGTTATTTTCATGTATGTTTAAAAATTTCCAAATAAAAGATTAAAACAAAGACAAAAAAGGAGAAGGGAGAAGGGTGGTAGCTAGAAATATCTGATTATTAACACAACCCTATTTATACCCAGATAAGACTTGTAGGTATTTAGACTGCATATATATGTGCCACATTTAGATTGCTGATTTCCAAAAACTTGAACATTATAAACTACATTCTGCATTTAAAGTATGCTGAACACAATTCAATACTTCCTTTGGAATTCAGAAACCACTTTATTCATTTATTCAACAAAAATTTATTGAGCACCTACTACATGTTCAACACTATTACAGGCACTGAAAATAGAGAAGCCAACGAAAAAGACAAAAATCCCTTCCCTCAAGGAAACCACATTCTAGTAGAAGACAAATAAGTAAATCTAGTACGTTAGATGGTAATGAGTGTTAAAGAAAAATAATAAAAACAGTAAAGGGAAATAGGGAGTGTGGGAAGTTAGATGTTTACTTTTTTTTTTTTTTTTTTGAGTTGGAGTCTCACTCCGTCACCCAGGCTGGAGTGCAGTGGCACACTCACTGCCACCCCAGCGTCAACCTGCTGGGCTCTGGCAATACTTCCACTTCAGCCTTCCAAGGGGCCAGAACTACATGAGCCCACCACCACACTCGGCTAATTTTTTTTTTATTTATTGTAGAGGCAAGGTCTCACCATTTTGCCCAGGCTGGTCTCGAACCCACAGGCTCAGGCAATCCTCTCGCTTTGGCGCCCACGTCCAGCCACGCTTACAATTTTAAATAGGATGACCCAAGGACAGCCTCACTGAGAGAATGCTATTACAGACAAGACTCTTTCCAGAAGAGGGTAAAGCAAGCACCAAAGTTCTAAAAAAGGACCATTAAATATATAAAGGGATTATTATAACATCAGTATCATAACAGTAAAACAAAAGGTGAGGATTAATATTGACTTTCAGTTGCTAGGATAGATACAATAATTTTCAGCTTCTTAATCACTGCTCTTTGCCTTATCGCTTCCAAAATTGTTTCAACTTCTTTACTCTGATACTATTTTCATTTCCTAAGAAAAATAAATCTGTTACTGTCTAAATACACTAGTCATAAGATTTTGTTTTTTAAAATGTCCCACGACAATCACCACCTCTAAAGCAACTATGCTATGGCCAGTAACCAGCTGACACTGTCTAAACACTGGCAATTTTCTACTGCCTTGTGTGTGTAAACAGGCCACTACAATCTGATACTGCGGTTAACTTGCAGAACCTAGAAAACCCGGTTAAGTCTTAATTCCTTCTTCTTTACTTCCAACATGCAATGAATCCTATTAATATCACCTATTCCAGTCATCTATCACTGGGAAACAAACCAACTCACAACTTAATGGCTTAAAATAATATTTATTTTATTCACAAATCTTAATTTGAGTGAGGCTTGTCTAAACTTCTGTTAGTGACAACTGTAGCCACTTAAAAGCTGGGGCAGATATTATCTAAAGGCTCATTTACCCACACCTGGTGGTAGATGCTAGTTGTTGGTTAGGTCCTCAGGGTGGTCAGCCTGTACGTGTAGCCTTTCCAATGTGGTTTGGGTTTCCTCACAATATGGTGATGTGGTTCTAAGGATAAGCATCTCAAGACAGAAAGTGAAGTGGAAGCTGTATCACTCCCATGACCTTACTTCAAAAGTCATGCAGCATTACTTCTGCTACATTCTATTCATTAGATGCCAGTCACTGAGGCAGGCCATTATACAAAGAAGAAAAATCAAACTCTATCTCTTGATGGCAAGTGACCAAAAATTTGTGGACGTATTTTAAAACCCACCACAGTCCACCCTGTGGTCAGGAGCTATTTATTTTCCTCCTGTAAAATAAAGACACTTTCTCCCTAGAACTCCCTTCCTCAAAAGTTTCTTCTATTTAGGGCATCAGGTCCAAAGATCTTGTCATCTAAATTAGGTGCAAAGGTAGATGCATCTCTTCGGGGGCAGTTCCTTAAGTCCACCTTGAATACAGTTCATCATAATCTGAAGACTTATGAACTAAAGAGACAAATTTTATCTCTCCCCATACAGTGAGTGAAACATGGGGCACACAATAGATAGTTCCTTTCAAAAACAGAAACAATGAGAGGGACAAAACAGCCAGTGGTTCAATGAAATTCTGAAATCTAAGTAGGCACAAGCTGTCAGTCCCTCAAGTATGATTCCCTCAAGTATGATTCTACTACCTGGAATTAGCTCTTGGTTCACCTATTTGGGTTTTTTTGATTCTACCCTCTGAATTTCTTTATTTTCCATAAAATGCAGCTCATGTATGCCAAGTAGTTTTTTCAGGCTGCTTTCTGTCCATAGACATTCAAAGTTCCAAAGGCCTCTTTTTTTGTGTGGTAACAATTTATTGAAATATAAATTAATCCGCCCATTTATATAAGTCAATGTTTTTTAGTATATTCACCAAGTTATGTAACCAACACCACAATTAGTTTTAGAATGCTTTCATCACCCCAAAAACAAAGCTTGGAGCCTTTAACAACTACTCTCCATTCTGAGACATTGCCAGATTGGTTTCCACAATGGCTGCACCATTTGACATTCCTACTAACAGTGTGCGATGGTTTAATCTTTTCATTTTACACTATTCTTCTTAACCCAAACTGATACAAACCCTTTGAAAAGTTTGTGGACTTCTTTTGAAAGTTCATAATTTACTGGATTTGCTCGGTCTGGAACACATTGCTTAAGTTTAGCATCATTTACTGTCTGGAGAGGCAGGAAATGAGAAACAGTTTTATTTTTCAAACCCCAAAAGTTGTTACTCCTTTATATTTAACAATTCTTCCTCTTGCTTGCCTTTCTCCTCTTTCACTTTCACTATAGGCAGCTAGAGGAATTCAGACAGGACCTTCAATACTGTCTAGAATTTCCTTCACTAGATTATACAGTTGAGATAGTTTATATATATATATATATATTCCATTGTTAATGCTGCCAGAATTGCTATACTTTCTGCTACTATGCTATAGAAGTCACCTTTCTTCTAGCTTCCAATAATATTTCTCTCACCAAAGCCTTCTTCTTTTCTTCTTTAAACCCTTACGCCGGGCTCGGTGGCTCAGCCTATAATCCTGTGCCTTTGGGAGGCTGAGGTGAGTGGACTGCCTGAGCCCACGGGTTCGAGACCCGCCTGGGCAGGCAAGACCTCATCTCTACAATAAAATCAAAAAA